CTGTGAGCTATGAAGCCACGGCACTCTACCCAGGGGGATAGCTTGAGGCTCTGTCTCAAAAAAAAAAGAAAGAAAGAAAATATGTGTACTCCTTTTCATAAATTCGGGGGTGTGTGTTAATCTGCATGTACTTTTAAAAGGGCACTATGTATACTGAAATTTTCTTTCTGATCATAATTGGTAACAAATCTTGGAATATACTGCTGTGGCCATGTCATTTGCAATTCATTCATTAATACAGTTTATTAATCGAGTCATCCACCCACTCAGACCCAACTAATATTTATTAGGTATTCGTGGCAGGCCTTTAAGATTGCTGCCCCCTGTTACCCACGTCCTGTGTGATCTCGCCTTGAATGTGCCAGAATTGGGAGTTTGATGAGATTTTACTCCCAGATATAGTGAAGGTGAAGATATAATTTTGACGATATAATTAAGATTTCTAATTAGATAACTTTGAATTAATCAAAAGAGAGATTATCCAAGTGGTCTGACCATTATAATCAGATGACCCCTTCTTAAAAGAGAGTTCGGGCCATCCTTGGAAAAAGAGATTTGAAACTGAAGAGCTGCTCTCTGCTGGCTTTAGAGACATAAGCAGCCATGTTGTGGGGGCGGGGGGCCACACGGCAGGGAAATGTGGGCATCCTTCAGGGGCTGAGGGCCACATTCCTAGAAACTCAAGACAATGAATTCTGCCAACAATCACAGGAGCTTCAAACCTCAGATAAGATGCCAACTCTGTTGATGCCTGGATGATAGCCTGGTGAGACCCTGAGCACAGGATCCAGCTGAGTTGGGCCCAGACTGCTGACCCTTGGAAACTGTGACATGATCAACATGTGTTCTTTTAAGCCACTAACTTTGTTGTGAAGCAATAGCAAATGATCACACTATCTATTATACGTCAGTTACTGGGATGCAGAAACGAATGAAATACCATTCTTGCTCCAAAGACAGTCTGGTGAAAGAGACATAAATGGCAAAAAGACACAATTTAGAGTGAAAAGAGTTATCATGGAAATAGGAATCAGGGTGCACTCCTGGTTAACCACAGAAGATTGGACACAAACTGCTGCCCAAACCCTGCATAATGCCAGGAAAGGGACCAAAGGCCGTCAGCTCATGAAGGGGAGGGCGATGTAAAGAGGTGAGGGGCAGCTTCTCTTCTGGGCAGATTGACTGGGAGGTGCAAACCTGGCATTTTCTGTGCCTGTGAATTCCTCCTTCACCTACCACATGGAGGAAGCCTGTTGGCAGTGGGAGAAAATGAGGTCAAGAAACAGAAATAGAGCATCAAGAAGTCACACAGATATTCCTGGGATGTTTGATGCTTGGGCTACAGCTGGCCCAGGTCCAGCTCAGGTCCCAGGGGTCTGCTTTTCACTTAAACAAACCAACAAAACTTAAGGGTAAACCTTGGCTTATTTTTAGTCTAAGTGTCCTGGCAAATTACCTCAGATAGATTAGTATACAGGAAAAAATAAGCTCTCGATAAATTCCAGTTATTCTCATCATTACTTAGCTGACTATTCCTACCAACTAAGCGTTGTGAAATCTTTAAGGGCTGCCACATAATTTCGAGGTGCTTAATAGGGAGGATGGACTTTTTTATATGTTGAAAGCCTCACATTCAAACAGTTCACGTGTGTCATTAAGGACAAGCACAGACATCTTAGGGGAGGCTCCTGCGGGCACGGTGAGATGTGTGCTTGCCTGTCACATATAGCCACTGAGAAGATGAAAAAGAGCCACGGAGATGAACATCTTGTTGGTGGTTGCTGTGGAACAGGTAGCTGTAGCCCTGGCAGTCTCAGGGCCTCAGCCAGCCCACGGAACATGCCTGGACATGCCTCCCACGTCTCAACCACATCTCTTTCTAGAAGGGGAGAGTCCATGTGCTGGCCCAGCTCCCCAGCAGGGGCCTGAGCTCCATGCATGGGACCCCAGAGGATGCCTAAACGTTTGAGCAAATCAAGTTGTCCAGGTCTAGGGTCAGCTCCGGCCCCAGCTGGGCCTTTCTCCTGCTGAGCTGGCCCATAGGCCTAGGGAGCCTGTCTGGGCTATGGATGACCTGCAGGTACTGGTCAGTGCTGCTGTTCTGCTGGTCACTGCTGGATGTCGCTGACATGGAATCAGATTCTGTGAGAGGTGGTTCAGACCTGGGCTTCACTCTGGGTCTCAGCGGGTGCTGTGGGTATCGGAAGTGTCGGGAGCGGGGCTTTCTGTGCACAGGCGTGGGCCTGGCTAGTTGGCCCTCAAAACTGTCATTCCAAGCCTGGTGGTGCACCCTTCCTCCTTGGTGCTCGAGGGCAAGGGTCTGGCTGTCTACCCTCTCACCAGTGTAGAAGTGAGGAGCCCGGTGGAGGTCTGCGAGTGAGCGTAGGGGGAATGGTTGCTCAATCAGATCCCCCCTCAGCATTGCCTCCTCTTCCTCAGTCAGCTGTGGAGAGGGAGGCTGCGGGGGGACCCGGTGCATGTACGGTCGCAGGCTTAGGGGGTATGTCTCCACAATATCACCTGAGGCTTCTATCTCGAAAAGTCTTTCTGGCCAGAAGGTCGGATGGATTTTCTTATGAGAGTCATATTCATTAATTATATAGTATCTAGGAGTTGGGGGCCTTTGACCCTGTGCCACCAAGGCTGAGGCCCTTGGTCCATGGAGGGGAGGGCTGACTTGGCGGAAGTCTTTCCGGAAAAGAGGTTCTGAGTGAACATCTTCAGTGTGCCTTGTAAATGTCACAGGTGTGCGCCATCTGCTCTTGTGAAGGTCCCCTGTGCTGGCACAAAGACCACGTGTGTACCTGTAAGGCAAAGGTGGTCAGTAGCCATGGCCTGCCTGGTCTCAGAGCCTCTCTCCTGAGCATTGTGAGAGCGAGGACAGCAGCCCCCTTAGTACCCTCACTGAACCTGGTTCTGAGGACCACGCCCGTAGAAATATTTGGGGAATCAGTGCCAATCCCTCCTCTGTGTCAAGGCCCTTCAGTGCCATGAAGAAAACACTTCAGACAGCAAAATTTCAAGTTCTTTGCTTGCTTAGTGATTATCTTAAAAAAATGACCTCTATTTTATCTAGGTTGCTTTCACTGTGCTACACTCAGAATCAATGTAACTCTCCATAGGAGTCTGGGCCAGTACAAATCTATTTCCTTCATCTTTCCAGATACACTATCTCCAGTATAGGAAGCAGGGTTCTACTTTCCTTTCATTCTGTAAAAAGTTTTAACAGTATTTCTTTTGCACAAGACTGAAACAGTTGACCCCCTATCCTGCATGGATGATCTTGCCAGTAACTTGACCAGCCTGGAGCTAAAATGTGGAATATCTGGCCATTGATATGGCCAGTCTGGAACTAAAAAATAAAAGACAAACAGCTAGAAAGGAATTGTATTGACTTAGGCTGTAGAAATGTTTAGCCTGGTTTGGCTGGAATGTTGGCTTACAGGTTACATAGCCTAGGAGAATTTGTCCTGTTTGTCAAATTTTGACACCCCCTTCCCACTGTCTCTGTTTCTCCTCAGCTCCAGCTGCTACTGTCTCCTGGCCCCAGAATTTAACAGCAGTTGCCTCCTGAAGCTGTTGAGAACTTCAAATCCCTGATGGCCCTTAAGCCTCCCTTTCCTGTGGCCTCTGGGCAGGGCTGGCCTCACATTTCAGGGGGCCAGCCTTTCTGTGTACCGAGGCAAAGACTCACCTGTTAGCACTGTGCCCTGGGTTGGATTTGGACACACCAGGAAGAGGTGAGCTGGGAGCCCTGGGCCCTGGCCTGGGGCTTGGTGGCACAGACTGGGCGACTGTTTCCAGCCTGCTGCTCTTGCTGCTAACTGAGCTGAAATTGGTCACATCGCCATTGTTTTGGGGTGTGGCTGAGTACACTGAGGACAGCTGGCTGATGCGGTCACTGTCATTTTGAAGCCTCTTGTTGCTTTCGTCCTGAGTCTGGATCCGGGCTGCAGGGAGAGAGAGGGAGGACTATGAGAAGGTGACACATTCAGCTGGGCTGAATTACCAGAGGTCTCACAATCAATTGGCTTCACTTGCAAATACACCTAATCCACGGACAATAAACAGTCTGTAATTGAAATAATTTCATCTGGGCAAACTGGAGCTGGGCGTGTAGGTGGAACCTGATGGACCTAGGGCTGTTCCAGGCACCATCTGATGTTCCTAGGGGGCAAAGCAGGTATCTGGCAGCTTTGGGGCTTTAATTCTTTCTCTATATAATGGATATAATGAATACAATCAAATAAACTGCAATTATAGTTTTTTGCAAACAGTTCACACAGCAGTCTATTATTAAAAAAAGATGTGGCCTTAAACTAGGAAGTAAACACTCAGCTAGTCTGCACAGGTCCTGGCTTTTGAAGATCATGTGAGCTAAATTACGCTCAATGAGCAAATCATCCTTGATAAGCGGCAGTAGGGTTTTATAGCGTAAGCCACAGTCATTTTCCTTCTGTCCTTTACAGGCTTCTCTCTGAAAAGCTGGTGGAGCCAGCGTGACCCTCAGGCCTCAGGGTTCCCACTCAGTTAGCATTTGCCCGGAGGGGACGAGGCCCCTCCCAATGAGCTCAGCATCAAACCAGCTCAGAGAATTGGCCCTGGAGCCTGGCTGGTCCACAAAAGCAGATCTTTGAGCTGCACCTGCCCACTGTCCTCTCTTTAGGCCACACTCACTTCTGCTCCTCATGCCCTCATTCTTTCTCCCCTAATGAGGCCAGAGGGGAACCGGTTTGTCCAGGCCACTGTGTCCTTGGGGAGCCATGGGTGTGCATTCCTTATTCAGGAATCTGCTCTGGCACTGCTCTGCAGGGATGGGACAGAGAGGACAGCACCTAGGAAGCTGGGCCCTGGAGGAGGGACACAGAGGGGTTCTTGCAAGGAAGAGATGGGCTACTCAGAGGAAGTCCACAAAAGGGAACCAGAGACAAATGTGCTTTGGGCTTCTCTCTAGCTTAACGTGCTTCTTTCTCTCTCCTAATTCAAAATTTCCTTCTGATTTTAGTTGTATTTTGGGGTCATTTGCATGCTTGGATATGATGTAAAAATTGAAAATTTAAACCAACATTTATATCCCTAGGTTATACTTTATTGTACCTAGTTAATTGTGAAAAACCACAGGTTATCAAATTGGTACCCTAAACTACCTTAAACTGCTATATTTCTAGGCAGCCACTAACTTGAGACATCAGATGTTGGCACTTTTTTTATTTTTTGAGACAGTCTCAAACTGTTGCCCTGGGTAGAGGGCTGTGGTGTCACAGCTCACAGCAACCTCTAACTCTTGGACTTAAGTGATTCTTTTGCCCCAGCCTCCCAAGTAGAGAAGTCTACATTTTAAAATACTTACCTTCTACCATTTGGGCAACCTTTTTCTTATCTTCTGATCTTGCCTAAAACGTAAATGATAACCATGTCTGTTGTGGATTTAAAGGAAGCAGCAACAAATATTATTTTGGGGGGAAAAGATTTATATGCCACTGCTCTTACCCTGGATGTGACTGAGTTACTACTGTGTTGTCCCTTAGGGCACTGTGCTCTGGGCTGCTCCGGCCTGTCACGTGAGTGAATAAATGCAGGTACCTGAGAGCTGAGTTTCATGCCTGCCCGGTTTTGTTTAGGGACAGCTAATTGATGGGACATGTTTAGAGTCTACCAGTAATAGTCTGCCTGAGTCATGAAGAGAAAACTATGGATCATTAACACTGGAGATACTGCAAAAGTGCCCTTTACAGCAATAAATGAATTTCTAATTGGACTTTTTATAAAACCAGTGTGTGCTTTTTTGTTATGGATTGACAGTCAGGGGAGATTTTTTTTTTTAAACTGGAAAAGATGGAAGGAGTGTTTTTCTTGGTGGTCTGGGGCTGGGTGAGGCTGGTGCAGGGTCCCAGGAGGTGCTCACCTGTTCTCTGGGCTGTGGAAGGGCAAGGTCAGCCCGACCCTGAGGGAGCCTCCTTCCATTTGTTCCAGGGGTGCCTCCCTGCCTCACCCCATCCCGGCCTGGAAGAGTATGTGGGGGAAGCAGGGGAAGAGAAACAGGAAGGTCTGGGGAGCGTTCACCTTCCTCTGATTGCTCTGAGAGATGGGATGTGAGTTCCAGATAGGAGAAAGGTAATGACAGCGAGAATTTAAAGATTGAAAGAGGTGAGTCTTTGGGTGCAAACAGATGCTACTGGGCTCAGAAGTCCATGTGACAAGGGCTGGGAAGGGGCCCTTTCTCTCCTCTGCCAGTCCATCTACCGGAGCCCACAGAAGTGCCCGGCACACCAAGGGCTCTGAGTGGCCACAGGAGAGGCCCTTGGAGAGGAGAAAAAGGAGGAGTGGTAAATGTGAACTATCCTTGGCTATTCTTAGAAATAATTCCGGGAGATCTTGGGGGTGGCGGCCTTACGCTATAGGGCGTGGCCAAGAGTAACTTGGACTGTGACCTCACTTGTATTCCCACATAGGCAAGGTCTCAGCATGTGGCCGACACACCCTCACGACAGCACAGTTCTTGGGATACTTGCGTTTTGGATCTGCATTCTGAGTTGGTGGTTGCTGAGCTTCAGGGACCGAGCGATGCTCTGCAGGTAATAGATGAGCATGCTAGGGCAGAACAGCACAACGTGAGCCCCGCAGCGGCCCCTGGCCCTCAGGTCTCTCCCTTACCGTGGGGGGAGGGGGCAGCAGGAACAAGAGGCCAGATGAGGGCTACCCACTGATCCCACCCCCGAGGACACAGTGTCTCAGAAAGTTCTCAAACCAGTGAGCACGGAAAGGGGCCCTTCTCCTCTCCTTCCTCAGCATTTCCCCGCCCCCCGCCCCACACACCTAGCATCCTGCACTGCAGATGGCAGTAGGAAGACAGGAAGGTGTGGGAGGCATTCTACAGAGTATCAAGCTGTGAGTTACTGGATTCACTTGCTTTTGTTTTTGTGAGCCAGATCTGGCAATGAGCCAGATTGCTTTTTAAGATTATTTACATTTCTGGAGAATAAGATAATGAAAATAATGGCATTCACACCCATTATGAGGGGGTCACTGTAATGGACTAAATGCTGTTGATGGATCAATGACCACCTGGATGGCAGTGGAGTGCTCCCTCCCCACCCCTGTGAGGCCCATTTCTCCATCGCTCAATACCTTGTGTGGCTCTGCTGTGTGACTCAGGGTCCCTGCTTCAACCATTAGGCTCCATAAGTGATTTTTGAATGAACTAATACATTTTATACAATTATTAGAAAGTGATGTGTTCTTGTTGGCCAGACACATGGAAGTGTCCCCAGAGCCACAGGTGTGGTACTCACAAAAGCAGCAGCACCGCAGGCAGGATGACCACCGGGCTGCTGATGTGTCCAGCCACAGAGCTGAACCACACGGGGAAGTCCTTCTCAATCGTCTCTGAGACAATATCATAAATTTTCTCTTGTCCACTGTGAGAAAGAAAAACACAACTCCAGATTTTGTTGCTCTTGGCAGAAGGATGCTACTGGACATCAAAAAGTACCTGGGCGCCCAGAGTCTACTACAAAATGTGGGTGTCATATGGAATAGTCATTCAGTCCACAGGAAGGATGGAAGGCAGGTTCATCCATTGGCTAACACCACAACATTACAAACGACAAAAATAAAACCCCATTGCTCACACACGTGTGTGGTGTATGTGTTCCCAGAGAGCACACAAAGACAAACTGAATGTTACATACACGTCGTGCCAGAGCTGACATAAAACAAATGCTAGGTGGAGCCAACTCTAGGGATTCCTACATGGGGACAGCCAGATAATGAAGAATAAAAAGTGAAGTGGACTCTCTTTTAGCCTTTTGGGTTTTGACCAGGTAGAATTTCTCTCTAGTCCAGGAGCAATGCTGTCTTTCTTTTTCATTTTAAAAAGTCTATCTGTTTTTAACATGAGCTCAGAGATGAAATCAAAGGAAGACCACTAGTCTTGGACTCAGAAGATGTGGGTTTGTGATCTTCCTGTGTAATTTACCTGCTGTATAAGCTGGGAGAAGGATTCGATTCAAGGAGGGTCTAGTTCCCCCCTAGCTGCCAGCAGGTGCAGGCAGAGCTGACGGAATCACAGCAGCTCACCTGAATGGGCCACAGTTTAGAGATGGCTTATATCGCACAATTGCGAAAATGGTGGGCAGCATGCACAGGAACAGCATGAACAGCAGCATAGCCAGGTAGAAGTTGTTGGATCTGCAAAGACACCAAATGCCATTTGCCGAGGTGGCTCCAGAGCCAGTTGCCAGAAATGCATGTGCTCAGACAAGCGACCCAGAAGACTCTTTGCAAACTGGCAAACTGAAAAGTCCTCCTCCCAGTCCTGCCTAGCCATGGGTCTGTGCCTGGGTCACATGCAGTTTAGAAACCTAGCAATCGGTGTTCACAGGTTTTCCAGCCCAGTCTGTTCATCTAATAATTTCTTAAGTACCTGTCCACTTCAAACCATGGGAGTGGTAAACCCAGAGCTCCCACCCCACAAGCTCAGTTTATGGAAAAGTCTTAGAACCATTCCCATCCTTCAGGATGGTTTGCTCTTTTGGTTACGACATTAGACTCTCTCACTCAGATGTGATTGGCACTTGGCCCCTTCTCCTCTCTGCTCCTGGCTGCTCTGGGTAAGTGCCCTGCCTGATGAAGCCCAGGTCCCTTGTCCTCCACTGCCCAGGTCCCTCACCCTCCACCCAGGCTGGGTCAGGGAGCTTGGCCGCCCTGGTCCCCCCTGAGGATGGCTTAGACCTATTTGGTATGTAAGGCCCTGTATTCAGTTCTGAATAGAGGAACAGTGGACTATCAACAGGGTGACTCTCACCTAGCACTCTTTCTGTTGTTCTGTTTTTCTGTGTCTGTCTAATGAAACAGATTTGACTAAAAGAGAATAGAAAATATTGGAATTCACAGAATGTGGTAGGTAGGTGAGTGTCAAGTGGTAAAAACCTCTCTCTCTTCTCTTTCTCTATGTGTCTGTATAGATAGCTATATGTATACAGACATACATATTACAAATATACATAAACACATATGTACATATATAAAAACATTTATGAATATATGCATATGTTTGTGCTACCAGGTGACATATAAACATACTGTCAAGTAGGTCTTGGTCAAAAAATTTGAAAGCCACGATAGACATATACAAATAACTATATAACTCATCAAAATCAAATAATGGAGCTCTAATCAAAGTGTTCAAAGTGTGTTATAAAATCAACAAAATGGCTAACATAAAAAACACAAGAAAGAACAAGTGTTGACAAAGCTGTGGAACACCTGAGACTCTCAGATAATGCTGGTGGCCATATGCTGGCCACCAGTTTAGAAAACGTTTTAGTGCTGTCTGCTAATGGTGAACTCATGCTGCCCTATGACCTAGCAATGCATTCCTTGGTATATACCCAGCAAATAGTACTCATGAGGATGGTCAAGGTGGCCTCATTCATTACAGCCGACCACTGGAAACAACCAGTGTGCCCATCAGCAGTAGCATGGAGCAAGAAATTGGGGTGTATTTCCTCAGGGGGTGAATCTCACAAAGACAATGCTGACACACACAAAAGAGCACATACCATATGTGACTGCATTTCCACACAGTCAAAACGACGCAAACCTAATCACGCTGTTAAAGGTGGCTCTGGTGTCGCTTGCATTGTGTTGTTTGGTTTGGGTGCTGGTCACATACTTGGGTGCAGCTGTGAAAATGCATCAAGCTAACCATTTAGCATTGATGCAATCTTTCCAAATGAGCATTAAATTTCAGTTAAAAAGTTTAAAAAATGTTTCATGAGTTTATGAAGAGTTAAGGATTATTTCTAAGGATGAGGCACTGGAAAAGACATCCTGGGAGAAAGGGAATTGGAGGACAGGCAGGATTTCGACAGGAAGAGAGGGGGTAGACCCCCAGCTGGAGGACGCCCTGGGCAAGGCGCAGGTGGATGGTGTACCTGAGTCTCTGCGTTCTCTGCGTGAAGCGGACCTGTGCTTACCCACCTGGAGGCTCGGAATACTTGCTGGTGGGGCACGTTGCAGGTCAGCACAGCCCAGCTCCGCAGGTACATAAGCCCGATGAGTTTGAGAACATTGAACGCAGGGAGGCAGGGTGCGAAGAAGGCCCCCATCCTACAACAGGGAGCAAGGTCAGATGGCGTACGTTCTCTCCCAGTCTGTGTATTTTCTGGGGCCAGAAGCCCATGGACGAACATGGGATTTATATCCTGTGCTTAAAGAACAGGACAAGCTCCTGAAGTGCTGAGACCACAGCCCTCCACCTTCTGGGGATAAACAAGTCACAGAAGATGGGGAGTGATCCTTATTTTAACATATCCTCTTTGTGAAGGACTAAGTATTGGTCTCTTTTCACACTTGAGCAAAGGAAGGGCCTTCCTCTGGGGAGAAGGCAATTCACAATGAGCTGCAGATTTTACCCATCTGGGGTAATAAACTACTTCTTCGGGGTTTCATCAGCATAAGCCAGGCACCTGATCCCACTGGACGCTGCACTGAGTGTCCTCACGTATTTCAGCTCATTTAACCTTTTACAGTTGTGAAAGAAGGAATAGATTACATTCAGTGTAGACAGACAAGGAAAGCACATCTGGGAAAATTATGTGATTTGCCCCAAAACATGTCACTAACTAAAGGGTAACCCTCTATCATCCAAAATAGAATACATTTGAGAGTAAAAGATCTGGGTCCACCGGCAAGAGCGAGGCCACCTAGGAAGCTGTCACCCTGTAAAAATATGTCTAGCGGGGAACACAATCTTGGTTCTCCGATCATCTGTCTACCAGTTTACAGTGGGTATGCATTCAATATAATACTTGTGGAATTTGTGTCTAATACTAGAAATAAGCACAGATATATTTAAAGCAAAAGTCTTTTTAGAAAAGGTTTGATTTCTCATAGTAGGCAGAAATGTCACTACCTATTTGATGTTAGGCAAGATACGTATATAGCTCCTCATTTCTAAAATGGGGAAAATAACTGCAGTTACGAGGATTAAATAATTTACTACAGGCATAAAAGTGCCTGGTATCTAACTCATGTTGAATAAATGTTGCAGATCATTTTAAGTACTGTACTAGTAAAGATATTTTGTAAAATATAGTGGACCATAAAAGTATAGAAGAGTATAGAATTTGACTGGAGGAATATTACTTTGTAACTCCCAATTCCCCGTCATTTTATTGGATGGTTGTGAAGAGAGTTTGTGTTCTCTGAATGCATGGAAGGAACCTCCATGGTTTTCTGTTTCTTCATCTGCTTGTGTTTTAACAAATAGCACTCTTGTGGTCCAGTAGATAAAACCAGAGATGAGGCTCACTAAGGGAGCTCATTGCTGTGCCCTGGGGACATGCTGTAAGTGGAGGGGATGGGATTGCTCGGGCCTGGGAGGGACCCAGGGTGGACAGGTGTCCTAGGCTTTGGGCCTTCCCCCAGGGAGGTCCTACAGTCTGGGGTATGACTGTGCCCTGGACCTGGTGTCTAAGTGAAAATAAGAAGTCACAGAAAGGAGAGTGGGGTATGAGACAGATAGGCCGAGGTCCCTGCTGGGACTGCAGCCACTCCTGAGGTCCCCAGGGAGCAGCAGTGTCCTTTCCAAGCCTTCCTTGGTCCTCCCCAGTGGCTTATTCTGGTTTCTGTGCAGGTTTTGTTGTTGTTATTTTTGGGAGGGGGCTATGACCAATAAGAGCTTAAAGATGGACTATTTTATAATTTCTTCCTGCAAAATTCCTATAAATGGGTAATAAAATTACTATCCACAATAGCTGCCCTTAGAAATAGCCTTTCTTAATACCTATGACTGTATTTGTTATGGTCATGTTCCATCCAGACTAGGAAAATAAAAAATCTTGGCCCCGATAGGATGAAAGCAAAGCAGTAGCTTTGATACCTACCAAATCATTCCTTGGTTGTAGACCAAATGGAGCACATTCTCAGCTATTTTGAATTCCCCATATTCAGGCTGCAAGAGAAAATAAACTTTAGCATAAAGATAGCTCCATGTTCTTTGCGTAAATCAGTTCATTACACACACTCACATATGAAATTCTTTGCTCTCATAGGCATGTAGAGGTCAGAGCCTGTGGGCCACGCAGCAAATGATGAATGTTAAGAAAGGGGTGGAAACCCAGCTTTGAACACCCTTCCTTTCTTCCCTCATGGATGAGTTCTGACAATTAAGTTCACGAACTCATCCTAGAAAAAGTGCTACATACCTCATGGTTGGGTATCCCTAGGGTCACCTTAGGGGTACTCCCCTTCTTCATTGCATGAAGGTCTGATTCATGCAGTGAATCTGGTGAACTAGCCACCATGTGTGTACATTGGAAGCACCATACTGACAACTTAGGAAGGCTTCATAAGCTTGGTAAATCACTGTCTCAGAGCTGCGTTCGTGCTGATGTGTGGTTTTTTTTGCCGAGTGGCTTTCATTATTGTTGTTGCCTGTTTTTGTTTGCCATAAGATGACAGCTCTGATGGCCATTCCAGAAAAAGAGTTCCAAAATTGCTTTGAAGGGTGGCCCGGCCCCTGGTGTTGGTGCATAGCTCCCCAAGGGGAGCCCTTCCCAGGTGAACGCAGTGATATTCAGCAGGGAGATCTGTAGCACTGTTTCTAGGATAAATTTGCAAACCTGACTGTCACCTCGTACTTTTTTTCCATGTATACACGTAACTGTTTCCCAGTCTTGGCATTGGGGAGAGATGGATTTGGCCATAGGAATTTCCCCAGAGAACACAGTACTTTACTTACAAACTTATTTTCCAGGTCCCAACACCAGTAGTCACTTAAGTACCGGACGAAAAGCCCCCGGAAGAAGTCTATGAGCAGAATGCTGGCCACAGTGAAGAGCATGTCAATGATGGACAGCTTCAGCATCTCCTGAAACAGAGGTGTCCCTGCATGCCATCATGGCCCACCCTCCATGGCCTCTCCTCCCGCAGGGTCCTCCTTGTCCGCGCCTCCTCCAGGGTCTTCTGGTCTCTGGTCATCCCTAGCTAAAGGCCTCTCCAATGGCACCTGCATCCCACATCTTTAAAAGGAGCAGGGGGCAGAAGGGTGGGATTCTGGCATGTAGTTGGTGCTGAGGAAATACTGGCTAATTTGGATTTTGGCACCTGCAGTCAGCATTGTGCGAAACTAGGAGAAAATCTAAACCTGTGGTTCTCCGTCCACAGGACACCCCTTAAGGCCTGGGACTCACTGCCCTGGGCTAAGTCTGTGGGGCTGCGATTCTCTGTACAGACAGTAGAGGGCACAGACTTTGCAGCAGATGCCTGTCTGACCTTCACTCTGCTCTTCACTGTCTGTGTCCTTGGGCAAGTTACTTGATCACTTGTGCCTTAGTTTCCTCATCTGTGCCTATAAGGGTGACAGTAACAGGACTCTTATGAGGACTAAGCACTCAGAAAAGGGCCCAGCACATAGGAAATACTGTATGAGTCTTTGCAATGATTATCATTATTAATTTTCAGATGGAGAAGATCAAACCCCACTGAACTTCCTTTTCTATACAATAGGGTGAGTGGACCTCAGAGAGCTGCTGGGTTGAATGATGAAATGGCTGAGGAAGGGCTCCGTAGGGATGATCCACCTGGCCAACGTATGTTTCCCAGCACTGGTCCTGTGGACTCAGAGTGTACAGTATGGTCCTGTTTGCCTTTGGGAGAGGCACTGTGTGAGTGGGGACACTAGTCTCTTCCAAGGCCCATGTGCTATTTCTCCCGAGCCCTATTCCAGGCCAAGGTGTAGACCATTTCTCTTCTTGGAGGGCTGTCCTGGTGGCAAAGAAGGTAGTGGAATCCACCCAGTGACTTGTGTTGTTTTTGGTAGCAGCTTCCTGTGGATAGAGGGAGGGAAGGAAGAAAAAATGTTGTCCGCATATTTATAAATAAAAATCCATCATGGACACCAATGGTAACATTGCATTGCTTGGGAGTAATCATTCTCTCTCTCCCCCTCTGCCCTGCTCTCTCTCTTGACAGCCACTTGACTAGACTTGCCCCCAGTAATGGAACACAGAGATATTTACTGGTCCCTGGTAAGTGTCAGAAACTGCTTTAGCTAACATACTTTCTCTCTCTCCATCCTCACTAGAGTCCCAGGTAAGGATTATTACTCCCATCTTCAGATGAGGAGGCTGAAACGCAGTGAGTTGAAGTCCAGTGCTCAAGGTTACCCTGACAGTAAGTGGCAGGTAAGGACCCGGGTCTGTGTTGTCTCAAGGCCCTGATGCAAAAAAATTACTCTCTGTGGCCTCTTCTGCCTATAGGTCTTGAAATCTGATGCTAGTATAATGTGTCTTGGGAAAATAATCTTAAGAAATCTCCTCCTTCTCTTCCCCCATCACTTGGGATAGCCTTGTAGGTGGGGCAGGTTGAAATGGATGCCTGAGCAACCCTGGGCAGGGAGTGGATACTCCTGGTGGGCCGGGATGGGGGCGCCCTCTCCGATCTGTTCCTCATGAGATGACTATTCTCTGTGGATTTTTGAGTGAGTCCATGGCCTGTTGCTTTTCCTTTTCATTTTCAATAACCATTGATAGCTTCTCTCAATGGGATTAAGGAAGTATGGTACAAAAAATCAAAAAGCCACAGTTCTTATCCCAGCACTATCACTTACTAGCCACTAACTGTGGCCTGAGCTTCTTTATCTGGAAAATGGTATTAATTTTTCTATCTTTATCTCCAGAAGGCCACAACTGAGTTGAGTTTGGAGCAAGAGATGTGGAATACAGGCACAGCAGTGATGTTTCAATAATGAAGAAGACCCTGGTGGGGGCAGGGTGAGGAGGGCAGGGGCACTCACCTCAATACTCATGCTGTTAACTTTGTCCAGGAGAGCAATGATCAGACTGTAGAGATTCCCAAGGTACAGCACAAGGACCCTGAAAGCCACAAGCCCACCTTGAGAGACAAGGCCATTGCACACAAGTCCATGCTTTAGACCCAGCTTGTGGTTGCGTTGACTATGACTATGTGGATAGTGGCTGCCACACCTGGTTTCCTTTAGAATCACCTTGAGAAGACTTAAATAAATGCAGGATTCGAGAATCCATCCTGCTTCAGTAAGTCTGGAAGGAGTCTGAGAATCCTTTTATGGCCTTCCAGGTGATTCTGCTATAGCTCATCTTCCATCAGCATTGTAAAAATGCTAGCATAGCAGGGCAGTGCCTGTGGCTCAGTGAGTAGGGTGCCGGCCCCATATACTGAGGGTGGCAGGTTCAAACCCAGCCCCAGCCAAGCTGCAATAAAAGAAAAAAAATGCTAGCATAGCAGAAAGGGTGTGAGTTTAGGAAATGAGGCTCCATAGTGTAGTGTAAAGTGTGTGTCTTTGTGTCACACTTTCTGGTTTGAGAAGTGATTCTCTCCCTGCCTCATCTCATTTGATCCTCACAGCTCTGTGAGGTGCACACTGAAACACAGAGGGAGCTAACTGACCAGCTCAGGCTCACACAGTGAAAAGAGGCAGGATGCAATTTCAGGATGTCAGGCCCTGCTTCTGAAATACAGGAGGACCCTCCAGAGCCACTGAGGGTCATGGGCACAGGTCCCCCATGTGGACCACCAGGATGTTGCTGGAATTACCAGCAATAGTCTCAATCAACCAGTAATCTAAGACTTGATGTCAGTTTCCCCAGAAATGAAAGGTTTTGGAAACAGATCATGGAATTTCTCAGGATGCAGGCATGGGTCTTACTGGGAACCTGTCTGGGGGAATAAGATGAGAAGGGACAATGGCAGGTGTACAGATACTTCAGTGGGACAGTTGGCACTTTGAGAATCATGGAACCAGTGTCAGTTGATGGGAAAACATCTATATCTTGAGGAAAAGACTCCAAACTGAAAGAATGAGTTGGCCACAGGCCTCCGGTGTAAAGCTGACCATCTGTGTGAAGTGGGCAGAGAATCAGAGGAGGGGCCACCTCCGGGGACAGCACTGTAACTCCTGATGGCTTTTCCTCTGAAATTGAGAAGGGATGACCTTCAATAATAACGCCAGGACCTTTATAACTCTGCATCTGCAGTACCGAGGCCAGGGAACCCCTCCGTGTGTGTACAGCAAGCATGGGGGCAGGACTGGATCAATGGCATCTCCAGCTGTCTGGACACTGCATTGCTCTGGTCCTCACCACAACTCAGATAAAAGGTAATGCAGTTGGCTGGTAAGTTAGTGGAATATTACTTAGATAATATGCCTTACTCTTAGTACTGGAATTAGCACTAATTTGTCTGGGGTAAGTCTCTGATGCCTCTGTTTCTCTAGTTTTAAACATGAATAACGAGGCCAATCTGTGTAATAGGATTGCCTTTAGACCAAATGCAATAATAGAATTGAGTCTCCTCAATGCCGCCAATGAGGAAGGAGATGAGGACGGCACTGCTCTCTTTCAGGTCTAAGGAGGCTTATTCCAGGTCTACCCCGGGCTGTGAGGGTTTGGTCAACATGTGCTCTTTCTAAATCCTGTTTTTCCACCTTTGAAATGACAGTTCGGAGGGTGGAAATTGTGACCCTCAAGCCAGGCTGCCTATTTGTCAGTAAAGCCACATGGGAGTGCCACACCCTGTGCTGTGGATCGTTTGTGGCTCCTGCCAAGCCACAGCCTCAGGTGAGGAGCTGTGACAGACTGCACGACCCAGGAGACTTCAAATGTTTACTACCTGCCCCTTTCCAGAAGATGTTCTGACTCCGGAAAGAGAGCGAGTCTCCCCAGAGTGGTCTGTGGAAGTTCTGTCGTTCCGTAGAATGTCACTTGGCATCATGGGAAGAAGCAGGGCGAGTGTCGGGCAGGTAGTGTGGCTCTTAGCGCCTGCACTGTTGCACGCAGCTTCACAAGACCTCGCCTGACCCTGCTATGGCAGCTAATTTATAAGGGAGGTGAAAACACTCAGGGAGGGGGTGGGGGAAGAACAGGTGGGTTTTCAGGAAGACAGAGATAAAGCTGGTGCTAGAAATTAATGTGCTTGTTCTGACTCCTGCAGGAGGTGTGCCGGGCGTCCCCTCCCTCCAACACACCAGCCTGTGTTGGCCACCTGCTGTTGCAACCACAGGCATCCTGGCAGCAAGACTGAGAAAGCCTGTGAGTCTGTGCTTTAGGGGAATTACCAGCAAAGTGCTGACTGTCCCTCTCACGTCTGGAAAAACAGCCTGGGTCTCTCTCACTGCTCAGACAAACTATGGAGAGCCCTCAACAGTAGGGGGAGACCAGACACTCACCATCATCTTTTGGTCATCTTTTCTTGCCTTTCTTCTGCCTGTTCTGCCCTTTCCCTTCTCCTGTCATCCCTCCTCCCCTACCCCCCTCCCTGTGCCCTCCTAGTGTTTGCTCTTCTTGGATTACATCCCTAGGTGAAGTCCTGTGCCAAGTGTTGGGGAAGCTCTCGAGGCAGGGACATTCCCCCTGGGGCTGGGCAGATGGGTGAGTGAGGCCTTTCCTGCAGGGCTACCATACCTCGCCAGCTGGAAGCGCAGTGTGGTCCGTGGGTGGTACATCTCCAAGGCAGCGATGAGGTCGAAAGCAGATGGAGCTAGCATGGTGACGAGAGAGACCACCACGCTCACCTACGGAGAGAGCATGTGCCAGACCCTGCATCCTGCAGCCCCCAGCCTCATTATCTGCACTGGGTCAGCAGCTGTGCACAGCACTGGAGTTCCTACGCAGGAAACGTCCCCAAATCTCTACTAATTAGCTTTTCTTCAAATGAATGCTGCTACTTTATCATATCCTTATTTTTCTTTTTTAAACAACGTTCCTTAAGTGTTCTGAGGACACTAGTACGTGCCATTTGGAATTCAGTAGCATTTCTGCCACATTTTTCAATTACTGTCGCTATTTATACTTCCCTGACCTTGGGTGGAAGATGAAATCACTAAAACTATTATGACTAGCAAAGAGGAGACGGAGAGGTAATTTAATATTCCCTCTGCACATGGGAGATTAATCACCTAGAGAGTTAGGCCTGGCTCTTGTTCTTCTGTGTTTATAGCAAAAGGGAGTTTTAGCAGATACACAGATGTTTCAGCTAAAATAAGAAATAGTTTCTGACGTATCTTTTAAGACACTATCCATCTGTCTGTAAATGTACAAACATAACTTTACATAACCCATTAATTGACACAAAGTGCACAGGGGCATGGGAAAATATTACCTGTGCAGAATCACACTTTGATATGTGGATAAATATGCACAGGATAAGCTGACGGCCGTCTTATTGCCTACACACTTTGCTTATGGTAATAATTTTCCCAGAAGTGGTCTGAGAGGTAGTTTCTGTGCTATTTCAAATCCTTACAGGTGAATTAGGTCAACCTATTGGGACAATGATTCTATAACAAAAAGTAAGAATTCTAAAATCATCCATAATCTTCTACTTTGTCATTTTCTATTTATGGGAATATTCACATAAGGTGGGGAAAAGTTGGTTTAAAAAAGAAGCCATCTGCGTGAAGCTGGTCCTGGAAGCAGTATTTATAATGTACATATATGGAAGTCACCGCAGTGCTCACACACTGGTCGCTGGTCAACTTTGGGACAGACACTGGGGTGCAGGGCAGGGACTAATGCCAGGCTGCAGGTGCAGCATCAGTGTGCACACGCGTGGATGTGAGGGGACAGCCTGGGAGGGGCAGCACTCACAGGTAAAAACTACACTGAAAGGTCATTTTTCAATCAAAATCTTTCCCAATGCAACAATAAAATCACTTGGTCTAGAGTGGTTGCTGACATCCTGGCTCACAGCCCTTCCCGTCCCTGCTCTAGGGGAGAGGACTGAAGATTTCCCTGGCGACGTTCCTGCCTCTCCACTTAGAAGACAAGGCCAGGCTACTTCTGTGCCTTTTTTGGAGGGTGCCGCAGGTCCTGGCCGTGGGTACCTCATTCTTCTCCCAAAGCGTCAGCTCCTTCTTGGACTGCTCCAGCTTCTGGGACCGGTCCACCACGAAGTAGATGAGGTAGATGCTTCCAGCCAGTGAGAGCAGCACCAGGATGTTGGCGATGACCCTCAGACAGACGGTCACTGCCCTGTGGAAGAGGCAGCGTGAGGACAGTGCCCAGAACAGTCCCACGCTCGCAGTGGGGAGTAGAACACATCCGCCCTGAAAACAGCGAGTCATAAATGTAACCAGCCAGCATTGATAAACAAACAGCACTGGTATTTGGATTTCAGCTCTTTGCTACTTAAAATTGGAGCCCTGTAGTAGGTACATATGAGATATAGGCGTTCCAGTAACTGTGTTCAGCAGAAAGAGGGTGATGGGGGAGAAAGGAGGGTGGGAGCAGGGACAAGGTGGAGATGGGAGGGACTAATGATTCTGCCTGTCCTTGCATGTGGTGGGTCTGGCAATGTCCCCAATACAGGCATGTGCCACAGGACAATGTTTGGGTCAACAAGAGATGGTATGTACAACGGGTGTCCCGTAAGATTACAGTGGAGCTAAAAAGTCTCTATTACCTAATGAGATCACAGTGCAACAAATTACTCATGTGTCTGTGGTGCTGCTGGTGTGAGCAGACCTACTGTGATGCCAGTTTGTGTAAAAGTACAGCACATTGATAGTATAGGACTGTGTCAATATGTTACATATTTACTATACTTTTGGTCATTGTTTTCCAGTGTGTTCCTTGTATTTATAAAAAAAGGTTAACTGTAAAGCAGCCTCAGGCAGGTTCTTCAGGAGGCCTTCTAGAGGGGGCATTGTCTTTCAGGAGATGACGGGCTCTGGAGACCCTCCAGTGGGACCAGCAGCGGTGGGCAGAAGACAGTGATGGTCCCAGAGCTGGACAGGTCTAGGCTAGTGTGTGTGCTCTTGTCTTAGTTTTTAACAGACAAGTTTAAAAAGTAAAAAAATGTTAAAAATAGGAAAAAGTTTATAGAATATGGATACAAAGAAAAAATAATTTTATGCAGCTGTGCAATGTGTTTGTGTTTTAAGCTACATGTTATTACAAAAGAGGCACAAAGTTAAAACAAATTTAAAAGTTTTTAAAGTAAGAAAGTTTTTGACAGTAAACTAGGGTTAATTTATTACTGAAGAAAGGAACTTAGAAAGAAAGGAATTCAGTGTAGCCTAAGCTTATGAAGTCTGTGGGAGTGGACAGCAGCGTCCCTGGCCTTCACGTTCACTCCTCACTCACTCTGCCACTCACCCAGGGCCCCTTCCAGTCCCGCAAGCTCCATTCGTGGTAAGTGCCCTTATACCGGTGCACCAGTTTTTAGCTTTTTTGAGAGAGCCTCAAGCTATCCCCCTGGGTAGAGTGCCGTATCTTCACAGCTCACAGCAACCTCCAACTCCTGAGCTCAAGCGAGTCTCCTGCCTCAGCCTCCCAAGTAGCTGGGACCACAGGCGCCC